AGCCCAGGAGTGCTGCCAAGGCTTGCAGGAAAGATCCAAGGAGCCAACTTCCAATCCATCCTCTTAACACCCACCACAGACACTGGGAAGTAATGAGGGCAAGCAGCTCAGTGAAGTCTGAAGTAAATAACATGCACAAACTGACTGGATTCACTCTGTTCCAGGTATGGAATTGCTACTGACCTGCCATGAGCTTCTTCAGCAGCTTCTGGCTCTTGTTGGAGTCCCGCTGAAGAATGTCCTGCTCTTCTTTAGTGCACACCTAAAGAAAAAGAGGAAATGAAGACCTGGGAAGCCCATCAACAACTCAAAGGTGTTCTCTCTTCGTTGGCCACTGGGATTTAAACCGATCTTTCAAAGTAGGAATGAATCTGATTTAAAACATTTTGTCCACCCAACCGATATTTTCCTCTCACATGAAGAGGAATTTCCTCTCATCTGCCATCACTAACTTGCCCTCTTTCTCCTAAAGGTGCCCTTTAAACAGAATATGGGTGTAACAGATATCCCAAAGGATTCATCTTGCACAAGCATTGAAGAAAAGTCAGGACACTGGCCTTGGCTGCAGCTCTTGCCCACTGACAAGGCAGCCAGGGCTGTGCCCAGGATGGGGCTGAAGCTTTGCAGATATTTTGGACACTGCTGTGATGCAGAGGAGACTGGCAGAAACCAGACAAGCTCCAAACTTATATAAGTGATGAGGGAAACCTCTTAAGAGGTTCCTTCCTGCACACAGCTTTAGAACTTTGCTAGAGGAACTTCTATCTAAGAGGCTAATCCAGCAAACTTCTCCAGGTCCAAGCAAGGTAAAAAAACCCCCCTGGTGACTCACCAGGGCCCCACAGAACAGGCAGGGCCCGGAGCCCTCCTGGGCGCAGACGATGCGCCCGCACGTCAGGCAGTTGTTGATGAGCTTGTGCTTCTGGCCCAGGCACTCGCAGGCATGACGGCCTGGGATGAGCACAGCCAGCCTGTCCTGCCCCTCCTTGGTGTACAGGCTGACGTATTTGGGCTTCTTCTTACAGGAAATGCTACTGCTGCCGACAACACTGCTGCTCTCCTGGGCCTGGGGAAGCAAAAAAATAAACAAACAAACAGTGCTCAAAGCGCCAAACTGGCAGCAGAGAGTGAGCACTGACCCTCGGGCAGGGGACTCACAAGTGTTATTCTGCCTCACTGCAAGGAAACTTGGACCAGACCCCAGACTGAACGGAAAGACAAGCTCAGGCCTGCCAGAAAAGCTCCAAGAATCCAAACAAATCAAGGAACAAGGATGTTGCTGATGCACTTGATGTTTGTTGCCTATGTGAGCTGGAGCTGGTCGGATTGAGGCTGCAGTAGCAGCTCACGGGGGCTTAACAGCTCCAAACAGCAGCTCAGCTACTTCCAGATTTATTCCAAAGACTATTTAGATTATGGCAATGCCCTGGGAAACTCTGTGTGTGCCTGTCCCAACACAGAACTATTGGTGGCAGCAGGGCCACTACATTCACAGCCAGGGCACCTCCCAGCAGCTTTCCCATGTCCCACCCGGCACAGCAACCTCAGCACAGGTTTTCTATGCACAGCAGGTTCCAGTATTGAGCTGTAAAATAAACTCTGCTCCTCCTTCTGAGACTTGGCCTCAGTGATTCTGGGATTCACCTGAGTTTCACTCTAGTGATACAGCATTTCCAGTCCCCTCAGTAAAGCCTGACTGGTTTTAGTGCCACTGCCAGATCCAAACAGTGCCACCATGAAAAAACCCCAAAACCAGATAAAGTGACCTTGGCAGAGCTCTCTCACTTGTTGTTTTTTTTTTAATTTTAATTAAATTAGAGGATAACTCCAGGACAATGGAACACCAATACCCATTTTTAACCCTTCAATTCAAAAACGTGGGGTTTTATCTTACAAACACTTTTACAAACACTTTGCAGCCTCCCTGCTCCAAAAACTTCCATTTAAAAACACAAATTCAAGTTCCACTCCTTACTCAGGTTCATCTCTGCCTCTCAGGGCTTGGATGCTGCTACAAAGAGTGAGCTGACTATCACAGAGGGAGGCAACTACTGCTTGTTGCACAGCCTTGTGCTGCTTGGAAACAGCAGCATTTCTTGGGATTTAGCATTTCTACAATCTTATTTTGCAGTTTCTTTCAGAAATATTTCAGCTGCCAATTCAAGTTAATTCAGCATGACTGGGAAGGTTTAAATACAGCAAGAAGGATTGTTCTATCCACTTGGTGGCTTCCTCAATTCCCCACCATCACACCTCTGCTTTAAAGAAATCCCTTTTATTCCCAATTACAGCCTCAACTTCCTTCACCTGCTCTCTTATCCAGGCATTTGGGGGGAGCAAAATCCACCCTGACATGGATTTGCTACCTGTTGATTACTTTATTCCCCATTACAGACACAAACATACACAAGCTTTCTCCCCAGACTATATATTATAGAATCGTAGGATGATTTAGGTTGGAAAAGCCTTACAAGATCAAAGTCCAACCACTAACCCAGCACTGTCATGTACCACAACTAACCCATGTCTCCAAGTGCCACATTCACACGCCTTTTGAACACTTCCAGGGATGGGGACTCCACCTGTGCCAGTGCCTGACCAGCCTTTCCATGAAAATATCTTCCCCAATATCCAACCTAAACCTCCTCTGGCACAGCTTGAGGTTCTTTCCTCTCATCCTGTCCCTTGTTCCCTGGGAGCAGAGCCCAACCCCCACTGGGCTCCACTCTCCTGTCAGGGAGTTGGAGAAAGCCAGAAGGTCCCTCCTGAGCCTCCTTTTCTCCAGGTTGAGCCCCCCCAGCTCCCTCAACTACTCCTGGTGCTCCAGACCCTTCCCCAGCCCTGTTCCCTTCTTTGGACATGCTCCAGCCCCTCAATGTCTTTCTTGGACTGTGGGGCCCAGAACTGACCCCAGGATTTGAGGTGTGGCCTCAGCAGTGCGCAGCACAGGGGGACAGTCACTGCCCTGGGCCTGTGGCCACACTATGGTTGGCACAAGCCAGGTTCCATTGGCCACCTGGGCATGCCAGCCTCACACATCCTGAATGCTCATTTCCACTTTCCAATCCCACCTTTATTGGTGTTTGATATTCCTTTTCCCACACCTCAGGTTCCAAGCCTGCCCAGTCACCCCCAGCCACCCCAGTGTCCCCACCATGCTCACCTTGGCCAGGTCCAGGGGGGTTTTCACCTCCTCCACGTGTGTGCTGGGCTCAGTGTACGCAGGCGTCTCCTGCTTGTTCCTGCCTTTGCGTTTCCCCTTCTTCCCTTGGTCTCCAGCCCGTGGCACTTCCAAAGCCTCTGGAAGTGTGTGCAAGCACAGAGAGGCTGGGTGAGCACCAGCAAGGAAAAGATGTCCCTGGACTCTACTTGGTGACTAAAAATGGGCTTCAACCTGTCCCTATAATCAGGAATGAGACCATTACCCACGCAGGGGTTCATGGCATACGATTCTTCATAGACACAAAAACCCAGACAAGTTTATTGGAGACTTTGGTTCCTTCTTCCCCGTGGCACTCACCGTCCTTCTTCCGATATGCTGGGAAAGGCTCAGATGGCAGCTGGGAGGATTTCCTCCACCTGGAAAGCAGCTCTTCCACAAACCAGCTCTTCTTCCCATCGGTGCCCTGGAGGAGGTCAATGACGTACTCCCGGATCTCGTCCTCATTGGTTATGGACAGGATGTACCTGCGAGGGGGAAAGGGAATAAACGTGGGTAAGGGGCTGCTCTTCTAGCTCTGATCCAGGAGTTTAATGGCACAGGTGTGTCATTGCTCTCTCCTTTTCAGATTAGGTTTGTGGAGACTGTAGTAAGACCCTGGCAGGGGTTGGAATGAGAGGAGCTTTAAGGTCCCTCCCAACCCAAACCAGTTTGTGAAGGAGCAGGCAACTGCTGAAGAGTTAACAGTGTGTCTCCAAACCTCTGTATCCTTATGGAAATAATGTTCCCAGAAAAGTCTGGCAAAGTGCAGCATCTGTCTCCAAGGACCTCAGGGGGTTTCTGAAAATGGGTGGAGTAATTGGTAGTTCAGGCAACTTCTCAGTGCTCTGACTTACTTTGTTAGTGATGTTCTAGAAAAGCTTAGGGGAGCACTGGTGACTTCCATGTGTCAGCAACTGAATTGCTTTTCCAAGATGAAACCTCAAAGATAAACTTGGAGGCTGCCCTGGTGACTGAAAAGCTGGCAGTATAAAAGACCTCACTGTTTCCAATTGAGAATTCTCTGCCGAACCTCCATTTTTTCACCAAATACAGATATTCCTAAACTGCCTGGGGAGCCCCCCATAAGGATCAGCCCGGAATTGTCCTGCAGGACAAGCAAACAAAGGCCTTAAAGTGCGTGATTCTGTGACCCCACATACCCTTCCCCGCCACCTCCCGCCCCTCCAGTGCCCCACCCGAGGGACGACCCTGGGCACAAACCCCCGAGCGCCGCTCTGACACACTCCGTTCCCTCCGTGTTGGACCGTGGAGGGGTGTCGAGGGGCAGGGGGATCCCAGCTGCGCTCACCTCACTACCTCCTCGCCCACGTCCAGCCCAAAGTCGCCCCGCAGGTGTTGGACGCACCAGGCCAGGAGCGCGCTGGGCGCCGCCATCTTCCGCGGGGGGCGGGAAACGGCACCGCACCGCCCGGCACCCTCCGCTTCCCTTCCCTCCGGCAACGCGCCCGCGGCGCGACCGTTCCGGGCCTGTTCGTAGAGTCCGGGAATGGTTTGGGTGGGAAGGGACCCGAAGGATCATCCAGTCCCACTCCCCTGCCATGGGAAGGGACACCTTCCACTAGACCAGGTTGCTCCAAGCCCCGTCCAACCTGGCCTTGGACACTCTCAGCGATGGGGCAGCCACAGCTTTTCTGGGCAACCTGTGACAGTGCCTCACCCTGTGAAGAAAGGGAAGAATTCCTTCCCCATATCCCATGTAGCATGCGGGTCTCGGGTGTCCGCGGGGAGCGAGGCGGGCCCCGCGCTGCCATTGGCGGCTGAGGGCGCGGCGGGGCCGGGGCGGGGCCGGGCAGTGCCGGGATGGTGCGGACCAAGGCGGACCAGCGCGGCGGCGCCTTTCGCAAGGGTGTGGGACGGGGGATGGAACGGGATGGGACGGGACGGGACAGGACAGGACAGGACAGGACAGGACAGGACAGGGGGGAGAGGGGGATCGGGTCCCGGGTGCCGCCGCTGATCGCCCGCTCTCCCCGCAGTGTTGGGCGCCCGCGCTCCCCGGAAGGCGCTGGGCCCCGCCAACCTCAGCGCGGGACCGCCGCCGGCCAGGAAGGGTGAGCCCCTTCTCCTTTCCTTTTCCTTTTCCTTTCTTTTCCTTTCCTTTCCTTTTCTTTTCCTTTTCCTTTTCCTTTTCCTTTTCCCTTTCCCTTTCCCTTTCCTTTCCTTTCCTTTTTTTTCCTTTCCTTCTCTTCCCCTTTCCCTTTCCCTTTCCTTCCCCTTCTCCTTCCCTTTCCCTTTCCTCCCTCTCTCCGTCCTTCCTCCTTCCCTCTTTTTCCCTCCCTCCTTCCTTCCCTCACTTCTTTTCCTATCTCCTTTTCTCGCTCCCTGCCTCTCTCCCTCCTTCCCTCACTTCTTTTCCTGTCTCCTTTCCTCCCTCCTTCCCTCTCCCCTCCTCCTTTCCCTCTTCCCTTCCCTCCCTCCCTCCTCTTCTCCCTTCCCTCCCTGCCTCCCTTCCTCCTCCCCTCTTCTTTTCCTGCCTCCCTCCCTCCCACTTTTCTTCCCTCCTTTCTCCCTCTCTCCTTTCCTTGCTTCCCTCCCTCCTTCTCTCCGTCCCTCCTTGCTTCCTTCTTTTCCCGCTTCCCTCCCATCCTGGTGTCTGACGCCCTCCCCGCAGGTGACCGGCGCCCCGTGGGGCTGAACCCGGTGTGTGTGCGGCCGATCCCCGCCTGGCAGAGGAGCATCGGCGAGTTCCTGCAGCTCCCGCCCAAGGAGAACCGGGCGCCCGACGGAGCCGTGCCCGGGAGCAGCGGCCTAGGGTGCGTATCAGGGGAGGCAAAAATCCCTACAATTAGATGAGAGAAGGAAGTGCAGAAGTGTCGCCCCGTGGGGTAATGGGAAGGAGCAAAGCACAGCGTGGAAGGGCAGGTTTTGTACACCTGGGGAGTTTCGGGGGTTGGTTGTGCCAAACTTAAACTTAACGTTCACTTCCTTTAAAAAAAAAAACAAAACCTGAGGCTCCCGGGAGTGTGGCAGAGAGCAAAAACCACCTGCAGAGCTGTCCTGAGGCAGCTGGGGCTCTGTGGTGCTGCCGTAATGTGGATTGTCAGAGAGTGATCTGGGGGGTGATATCAAACAGCAAAACC